CACCATCCTTAAAGACCTCTGGAGCCAATCCATCTGGACCAGCTGCCCTTTCTCGTTTCAGATTAGCTATAGCCTTTTGAACTTCAACTAAAGTTGGGGGACCTACTTCAATGTTCCATACACACTGTTTGGGAATGGAGGGTAGTTGTAGAGTAGCTGAAGGCCAGCTGAACTGTTCTCTGAAATGTTCCACCCATAGTTCTAAACGTCTGGGCTGAGAGCAGATAAGTGTCGTCATTTTCCGAGACAGTCTCACTTACACTTGACTTTTTAGTTCCAGTTTCTTTTATTGGTTTGAAGAGCTGTATTGTATTACCTTCAGCCGCCGCCTTTTCCATCTTTAATTTTCGTTGCCCACCACTGCTTACGGTCGTTCCGTAGACTTTTGGTTAACCTAGATCTGATTTATTTTCGTTCTTGATTGTGTTCAGAGCCTAATTGGATGAGTTTACGCGTATCTATCAGTATTAGACTTAGTAAAAATCCACTGGTTTTTATGATTCTTTGGTTTAAATCATTAATAGATGTCGCCACTGTTTCCACGAATAGGTAACAACGAGTGCCCCTATCTTTCCAAATCCTTATTGTTCCGTTTAGTCGGACAGCGCACAAACGAGTGTCTACTGGGATCCGGTCTAGGACAGCTGGTTCTGCCCTAGGACTCTGATATACCTACACCAGCAAGGTCATGGGAAAGCAGCATCAGCGCTTCCAGCTACACGAAATGTGAATCGAGTTGGTTCCTTACTTTGACATGGTAAGCTCAAATGAATGACGCTACTCGGATCCTGTATACGCGTTTCGGAGACGCAGCACACATCGATGGCGCGAGATTCTAAAGTCCTAGCTAAGTAGGCTTGTTGTACTATTTGGCACAATGTTCGGACGTTAAAAGCTCCTAGATTTAGTTTAGAGGGTCGTCTCAGGAGACCAGAAATAACGTTCCGCGTACTCGAATCGTTTGCCCTAGTGGTGCGAGGTGATAAATGGACGTGAAAACGGTTAGTCATGGAGATAGGAGAGTTATTATGAGGTGTAGGGAGGATTTAAATGTGACCAACTTGGTCTCCGTGCTGTTACGGGTATGAGGGCTGATGTCACTTCCCAGCTTCCCACACGGTGCAAGGGTGTTTCTTGAGGAAGCTGAAAATGAAGTTGGTTTAGTGTTGGTCTTAACGACCTGGAGGCGTGACCGCAGAGCCCAAGGGACAACTGCCTGAGGTTGTACACCCACGACCGTTTCGTGAGTAGTTTTCGTGTTAGCTCATGCTTGTTGAGACCTTACCACCGAAGACGGATATCCATGAGATAAGGCGAGGTGTCCATTTCGAGGGTCAACTTTCCCTAACCCTGCCCGTCCTTGTGGGAAGGCAGCATCTCTGTTATGCTGGTTGTTTGAAAGAAACACTTTACTGCCGTCACACCTCTGTACAGTTAGCGGTACGACTTCGTCTTCGGAACTTGGGTTTGCTGCTTTCAGTCTTGCCGCTCTTCAACCGACCTGTTTGGCACGGTAGGACCTTGAGGAACGATAGGCAAGCCCGACCACCACGTCAAGGTAGCAACAAAGGTCGGGAAACTCATACTTACTTCTTGCTTACAGTCCACGACGCCCGACATACCAAAGTTCATGTAGTTAGCAGGTCACATGTTCAAACCCTGGCCAACCTACTTTGGTTTATATATCCATGTAGCATTGTTAGCTTTCACACAGTGTTACTGTAACCCAACTACATAAACCTATTCTTTGTGAATTATTCGAACGCTTATGTTGACTGAAAACTTGTTTTTGAACCCACTTATTGTTGAACATTTGTGTGGAGAAAAGAGGGATGCAGATTAGTGTTGCGTTTATTCAATCATTTATCGAACATTTTCAGTAAGGACTTGTGAAGATTGTTGAGTTTCATTAGAACCATGAACCAATCAATGTTAGACCACCATTGAAAACCTCGAAGTACTGGATGGCCGTTTTGTTCTAGCATGAGACTCTTCCGCAGTGCACATCCACGACTCTGTACATGGGGCTCGAATCCAGGACCTTCGTCCTCGTGCGAGCGCCTATCGAAGATCGACATTTTGTAATCAGATTACTTTTACTTGTTTCTCGAATCTTGGTGAACATAATCTGTCGTCTTATTATCCATTTAAGAGCATGTCCCTCGAATCCATCACGCGCTAAATTTCAATCCGCAGTGAAATACATGACGCTCGATGTTCGGGATAGGTCCGTATTCGCGGTTGTTTTCTGCGAACTGATGACACTTATTTTGTTATTAATTCATTCCCCTAGTCAAGTGGACGTCGAGGTACCGTTCTACCCTCCTACGTACGAAACTGTTGGCGGCTACGACTTTTCACTGTCCTTCTAGACATAACGAATATGACAGGTTCTACTTTCTAGGTTTACTTCATTGTGTATTTAAATCGTTTATTTTAAATAGACACGCGACTTTTTAAACACAATACCACCATTGGACTGGTAGTTAAATTAGAGGCGTGCCAAGTCAGTTATTATTATTGATGTCTGTCTGCCTTTCGTTTTCTGATTGGTTAATTTTTGGTCCGTAGGCTGTCTATTATTGATTGTCTGTTGCCTACGTGTCCTTGGCGTAGGTTTATATGAGGTCAAGTAAACCAATCTGATGTTTTAAAATTCAGCTTTATGTTAGTTTAATAGAAAGTGTATGAAACGTGAAGTTGCTTATCTTATTGGTTTGGTTAAAAATTTTCTCACCGTCCCAATGTTCTCACGACTCTAGTTTGTTTTGCATTGGAAATTTTTTTTATTAATGAATTAGGTATCGATGTGAGAATCTACTCTCGTTTCTCATAACTAAACAGAAAAATCCTAATTATTAGCATAAAGACTGTGATTTGCAGTATCTAAAATTTTACACACTTATCATTGGCTAACTGTTTGAAATATTTGCAACAAAATACAAAAGACTTAGCTGTTGTCTCTTAGGAAATTGGTATTAACTTATTCGAACAATATAGTTCAAAATTAATATCAAATAATTCCATCCCTGTTGTAATATTTACGAAGATAGGTTTACTTACTTACGCCTGTTACTCCTCGTGAAGGAGCATAGGCCGCTCACCAGCATTCTCCATCCAACCCTGTCCTGGGCAATCCTTTCTAGCTCCGTCCAGTTGTAATTCATCGCTTTCATATCTGCTTCTATTATCCGACGCAATGTGTTCTTTAGCCTTCCTCTTTTTCGCCTCCCTTCAGGATTCCAAGTTAGGGCTTGCCTCGTGATGCAGTTTGACGATTTGCGTAATGTATGTCCTATCCATTTCCATCGTGTTTTCCTAATTTCCTCTTCAGCTGGAAGCTGGTTTGTTCTCTCCCACAGAAGGCTGTTGATGATGGTATCCGGTCAATGGATGTTGAGTATCCTGTGTAGATAGCTATTTATAAATACTTGTACCTTCTTGATTGTGGTTGTTGTAGTTCTCCAAGTTTCAGCTCCATACAGTAGAACTGACTGTGTTGACGTTCGTATTGAAGATTCTCACTTTGATATTGGTTGAAAGTTGTTTTGAGTTCCATATGTTCTTCAATTGTAGGGATGCGACCCTTGCTTTGCCAATCCTCGTCTTTACGTCTGCATCTGAGCCTCCTTGTTCATTGATGATGCTTCCTAGGTATATGAAGGATTCTACATCTTCCAGAGTTTCGCCATCAAGAGTGATTAGATTGCTGTTGTCCGTGTTGTATTTGCGGACTTTGGTTTTTTCCTTGTGTATGTTGAGGCCTATTGATGCAGAGACTGCTGCTACACTGACTGTCTTTATCGGTCGTTGGTGGATTGACATCTATAGGAAGATCTGTGTGTGATGCTTCGATGTCCGGTTGATTCATTGGAGCCAACCTATTTAGGAGTTCCTTGAATTACTCTACCCATCTGTTCCGCTGTTGTTGAATTTCAGTGATTGGCTTGCCTTCTTTGTCTTTGACCGGCCTCTCTGGTTTACTGTATTTCCCTGCTAGTTTCTTCGTTGTATCGTGAAGCTGTTTCATATTTCCTTCCCTAGCGGCTTTTTCTGCCGTCGTTGCTAGTTCTTCCACGTATTTCTTCTTGTCGGCTCTAATGCTCCTCTTCACTTGTTTGTTTGCTTCTATGTATTCAGCTTGTGCTTGGACTTTCTCTGCTCGTGTTCGGCTGTTGTTTATTGCTGCCTTCTTGTTCTTCCTTTCTTTGATCTTGTCCAGTGTTTCTGTAGAGATCCATTCCTTATAATGGTGTTTCTTTAGGCCCAGAACCTCTTGACACGTTGAAGTCAATGCTTCTTTGATGCCTTTCCAGTTGTCCTCCATGGTAGTTTCTTCTTCCTTCAGTAGATCTTGAAAGGCTTGGAACCTGTTGTTGAGAGCTATCTTGAATTCATTGAGTTTGTCAGTATCTCGAAGGAAGGCTGTATTGAACCTTTGTAGTGCTGTTTGTCCACTTGTCCAGTTCTTTTTTAGCTTCAGTTTTAAATTGGCTACAACTAGGTGGTGATCTGAAGCTAGGTCAGCTCCTCTCCTGGTTCTCACATCTTCCATTGTCCTTCGGAATTTTTTGTTGATGCAAATATGGTCTATCTGGTTCTCTGTAGTGTGGTCCGGTGAGATCCATGTAGCCTTGTGTATACGTTTGTGTGGAAATATTGTGCCTCCTATGACTAATTTGTTGAATGCACACAAATTTGCAAATCTTTCTCCATTTTCGTTCCTCTCTCCCAGTCCATGTCGTCCCATAATATCTTCATATCCAGTGTTGTCTGTTCCGACCTTGGCATTTAGATCTCCCATCAGAATGGTGAGGTCCTTTCTTGAGCATTTCTCTATGATTGACTGCAGCCGCTCGTAGAATTGATCTTTAATGTCGTCGTTGCTATCATTGGTGGGTGCATAACACTGGATAATATTCATTGTGATCCCCTCCTTTGTTTTGAATGCTTCTGAGTGCTTTGATGATTCTGGATCCGTGAGATTCCCATCCTACAAAAGCATTTCGTGCTACTTTTGACAGCATTAGAGAAACTCTCTGAGTGTGTGGAGCATTGTCCTCTTCGTGACCGGAGTATAGTAGCATCTCTCCCGTATCTAGCCTTTGTTGTCCAGCTTGGGACCAATGGGTTTCTCTGATTCCCAGTACTGCCTAGTTGTATCTCCTCATTTCCGTTGCTATTTGACTGATCTTCCCGGTCTCCCACATTGTTCGGACGTTCCATGTACCTATAAAAATTGTTTTTCTGGTTGTTAGAAGGGGCATCGGCCTCGTTGCTTCCGAAGGAACTCGGCTTTCACCTTGAGGCGTCTTAGTTCTTCTAAAAGAAGACCTAACTCTCAGGGCAGAGTTTAAATGGTTTGAATTATTATTTTCTGGTTATCGTTTTTTAGTGAATTAGTTTTTTACGGGATGGGGTCGCTAACCCGATGCATAACCTTCCTCGTTTACCCGGGCTTGGGAACGGCAGTAGCTCTAGAAGAGCTACAGGCGGAGTTAAATATAGGTTTACAATGCGATAAATAAACACGATAGTAACTTTATACAGCGTTCATATTTTGATTGTTTCTTTATAAATATGAGTGTAACTATGGTCATATTGCAACTTTAGTTGTCGTTTGACATAGCCCTACTGAATACGTGGCATTCAGCGTCGTAACTGTAGTGTTCCGCGCACTAGTCTGCTTTGTGTCGGACAATAGATACTGTAATCAAAAATTGTTGGTTATAAGTGTTTTGAAGTTTTGGCGAATTGACTGTTGTAGAGTATCTATCAGTCAGTCGGCAACAAAGTAGAACTTCGTACGTACGTACATCAGTTCGAGTTACCATACCACATTAACACAGAGATGCAGTTGCCGATTCAAATCCCATAGTGGTAGAGGTAGTAAGAATATAAGCAGTAGTCGGGAAGATTAGGGTTTGGAGATGTTATTTAAAGAGTATAATCCAGTGAAATAAATTTGAAAAGAGGGAAAGAGGAACACGGAGTATTCAGAAGACTATAATTTGGGAAAGCACAAAGAGTGGATGCACCTACGCCATTCCAAACGATTTCGAGCAATGTCATTCGGGGTCTCTAGCCATCGGTTGCTATCATCTCGCGATTCCCAACCAGGTAGTCTACACCTACCAACATGACTCAGTCCACTTGTCAGTGACTTCATGGACTTGTGCCATGTTTTGGTCTGGCCGCCCCTAGCTTTCTTCCAACCTACTCCTACACCATAAAACATCTCACGTCGAGGCAGTTGGTGGTTGAGCATACGTAACACGTGTCCCAGACATCTCAGCTGATGAGTTTTCACTACTTCATTCATCGATTCACCATCCTTACCTAGTAACCGTTTCCTAACAACTGCATTACTTACTCGATGGTCCCAGGATATACGAGCAATGTTTCGAAGACACCTATGACCGAATACTAGTAACTTACGTATATCCTCTACTCTTACCGGCCTTGTTTCATTGCCATAAAGTAGTATGGGACGAACTGCTGCACAGTAAACACGTCCTTCGGTTGATAGACGGATATCTCACCTACTCTATAAATGACGCAAGTTGGCAAGAGCTAGCCGAGCCTTCTGTATCCGTGAAGCGGTAGGCACACTCAACTACTTCATTCCCTATCATTAGTTCGGGTGTCGATGCAACCCAGTCCTGAAGCAACATTTTGCATTTCGAGGGGGAGAATCGCATGCCGAACGTGCTTGCATTGTTGCTTAGAGTGGTCATAAGAATGTATTTTGTCAGCGTCTTCACCAAATAGAACTGTGTCATTGGCATATTCTCTCTCTCAACAACAAAGTTAAACGAGAATGGAGAGAGTGGACAGCCCTGATGAACACCACTTGAGGTAATCAATTCTGATGACAGTTCGCCATAAGCTCTTACTAGGCCTGTTGTGTTCGAGTAGAGCATCTATATCCAACAGTAAACATGTTTTGTTTCTGTTTCACGCACTTTTACCTTATTGATTTCCATTATTAATAATTCCAAACTTAGATTTCTTGTTGTCTCTTTCGCAACTACTGTTATAACGTTTCTTGCTCATTCATCCATCTAGCTACTCTCATAATTAGCTCTAAAATTCGGATTTTTGAATCCTTCTTCATCAATGTCCTCATATGTCCATGCATTTAGTTATGAACTGTAATACAGGTCCCACAGACCACGCGACTTTTAAGTCGATTTAGGTGTACTGAGATTCTAAGCAGTTAAAGAATGTCGAGTTCGTACATCCATTCTTTTTTCGAAAATTATTATCTGTATGTAAGCTTTTCACTGTTATTTCTTTCACTCTACTCGATTTGTCTTGCTTTTGTCTCGCTGTACCTATTGGTGTGATCAGGTTTTCTGTCGTTGCTTACGACTAAGTTCGTACTTCATTAAATAAAGCCTCTTTTAATTACATAGTAATGTAACTCATTTCTCTCGTTTTCACATAACAACATCCTCTTTCTGATACAACCACATGTCATTATAGTCTTATAACTCGAAGGTTATTTTAATAGATGTGGATGAACTTCTTTACTTTTTGTCCAAACTGTCGTAACCCACTCCTAGCTCCTCTAGTTCTTTTCACTTTCTACTTATTTTGTTGTGTCACCTTTTAACTATATGTATATGTATACGATATTTACTAATTTTTACATCACTTTATTCTTAGCGAATAATGCCAAGGATGTAAATGACAGTGCGACACCATCTGAAATATCATCTATTACTTACCCAGCCGGTACTTTATTTTCACCTATGAATACAATGACCGCTGTAATGTCAACTGGAACTGGAATGGGTGGTTGTAGTGCGTTATTGGTTCCTCTTGTAGCTGGTAGTCATGGGACAACTTTATTACCATCTAATATGACTCCTGTTTCATCTCATCTCTCTGTTGTTGCTGATCATTCTGTTTTGATGAATACAAATACTACACCTTTAACAAGCAGTTCAATAAACTTTGTCCCTTCCAGTGGTTCTAATTCCGTCACAAACTCTACCATAGTTCATAACACTCCCGGTCCAAAATCAAATATTAAAATTCCAACATCCAATTCCGAATTGAATGGGCGATTAAGGGTGAGTAGTTTTTCTTCTGTTTGAAATGATAGACATTTTATTAAGTTTTATTAGTAATAAGTTTTCTGACTGAATGCTTGAATCGGTCTCCTAAGCTCTTGTAATAACCGTAGACTAACTCTACAAGACAACTTAAACACGAGAAAAAAGGAGCGTAATATAGGAGGAACGCTTTACTGCAAGGTTAGTTTATGTACAGAAAATTCAGTCAGTCAGTCAGTAACAACGTAGAACTTCGTACGTACGTACATCAATTCGAGTTGCCACACCACATTAGCACAGAGATGCAGTGGTCGATTCAAATCCCGTATTGCTAGATGTAGTAAAATCATAAGCTGTAATCAGAAAAATTAGGGTTTGAAGATGTTATTCAAGGAGTATAATCCAGTGAGTGTGCACAACATTTCAGACAGCCTTGGGCTTGTGGCAAGTTCTGGGACCCTACTGAACATAGTAACAGGTTAGGTAATCATCCAATCGGAAATGTGACACGTAACATTTCGCTTTCTAGATATTTCTGACAAACTTCTATTCAATACTGATTAGATAAAATGTTTCTCAGCGTTTTTAAGGTCCTCTTTGGTTTTTTTCGAGGAATTTTCAAGGTCTCTCCAACAATTAGTTTGTCACAAACTGATCTCATTTGAGGTACTATTAAAAATAGCTGTTTCATCTTAGTATGGGAAAAATTATTGACTGATGATTTACTCCAACATATTCCTGAAGATATAGTGAAAGCTCCTAATTTCTGGATTTCAGATGTATCACAAGCATAAAGGTTTTTACCAATGGCATTAAATGGTTGTTGCACTTACTCCACTGCAAATTAACTGAAGATAGAATAGTAGTGTTGAAACCCGATCTGGTAGATCTAGTGTTGAAACACCGTGAGATCTGAATGTTCTGGCTTTCGATTTCTCGTAAGATCGTGGGTGAACATTGCTGAAGTCTCCCCATACTAAGAAGATGTAGCCGTTTAGTGCTTCTCGGTTTTTCAGTAGTACTCAGATTGAAATCAGTCTGACAAACGCAAGCTGTAGATGAAACCAGTCTCTACAAAACTCGTTCAACCGATAGATATTTGTTCACTAATTTACTACATATACCTTTATAACATTTATTTTCTATCTAGAATTCTAAAGATTCAGTTGAAATGAAACCAGAACCACTTGATTGTTTCGGACGAGTTACCACTGGTGCAGCAGAAGATCTTTTAACTTCTGGATCTCAAAATGAAATAAATGCTGTAGGTTTTCCGCAATTAACTTCAATCGCACCTTTCGCAATACCTTCCACTTCCATGGCAATGAGTACTTCAGTGTCTACTTCACCAGTTCAAGTTACACGAGTTAGTGGAGGAATCATAACATCTAATTCAACTGATGGTAACAATCCAGTACCTACTGAAACTATTATAAGTTCAAATTCTAAGGCATCTACGGGCTCTGGACCCTATCGTTGTCGGGAGTGTGATAAAGAATTTCGAATATTACGTTATTTAGAGAAGCATAGACGTATTCATACGGGCGAAAAACCGTATCAGTGTTGCTACTGTGGTCGTCAATTCAACGACTGGCCAAATATGAATAGGCATAAACGGATTCACACGGGTTAGTTATAATTTACCTTATTTTAATTATTACTGAACCATATTTGTGGAGTCAGTCAGTCAGTCAGTCAGTTACAACGTAGGACCAGGCACATATATGCATCGGTCCAAGTTCCCATACCTCATTAGGACAACAAGATGGACACCGGGTTCATAAAAGTAGTTAATTCAGAGGTGGTAATATATAAAAGAAAGATTGCAATAAGGATCTAGTACAGGAAGAAAGAATTAGTTCATAGAAAGAAAGATATGAAGCGATTTTAATCTCTTAGTTTTTAAGGGAAGACAGATAGCGTATACACCGACGCGATTGTGATCGATTCTGAGCCATGTCACCAAGAGTCTCCAACCATTGGTTACGATAGTCACGCGGACCCCAACCAAGTACTCTGCATCTACCAACATGGCTCAGACTACAAGTTAGTGACTTCAAGCACTGATGCCACGTTTTGGTTTGGCCGCCGCTAACTCTCTTCCAGTCATTTCCAACACCGGTTAGCATTGCTCGTTGTGGTAATCGGTGTTCAGGCATACATAACACGTGGCCCAACCATCTCAGTCGATGAAGATTCACAACCTCATCAGCGGATTTACCATCATTCCCTAATACCCTGTGTCTAACCTCACTATTACTTACCCGGTGATCCCAGCAGACGCCAGCAATATTTCTAAGACATCTGTGGTCAAATACTAGTAGGTTACGAGTGTCTTCTACTCTTAATGGCCATGTTTCGCTGCCGTAAATTAAAAGAGAACGGACTTCCGCTCAGTATACTCGTTCTTTTATTGATAGACGGATATCTCGCCTTCGCCATAGGTGACGTAAGTTGGCATAAGCCAGGCGAGCTTTTCGAATCCGTGCTGAGATTTTGTCGGACACCAACCCATTAGGGCTGACCAGACTTCCAAGATAAGTGAAGTTGTTGACGCGTTCGACTACTTCACTCCCTATCCTTAGTTCAGGTGTTGACGCAGACCAGTCCTGAAGCAACAACTTGCATTTCGAGGGAGAGAAGCGCATTCCAAACATTCTGGCATTGTTGCTCAGTGCTACCAGAAGACTCTGCATTTTATCAGCGTCTTCACCAAATAGAACTATGTCATCTGCGTATCTTAAGTCGATAAGTGGACCTCCTGGAAGGAGATCAATACCCGAGAATTCAGTCGACGAGAATGTTATTTCCATTAGTAGGTCTATGATGAAGTTAAACAAAAATGGAGAAAGTGGACAGCCTTGACGGTCACCACTTGAGGTTGCAAAAGCAGATGACAGTTCGTCATAAGCTCTGACTCGACTTTTAGTGTTCAAGTAAAGAGCCTTTACAAGGTTTATATACTTCTGAGGTACGCCTTTCAATGACAGACACTGCCACAAAATCTCGCGGTCTACCGAGTCGAATGCTGCTTAGAAGTCAAGAAAGACCATTGTCGGACGTTGATAAGTATGCCTATGTTCTAGAACCTGACGAATGGTGAATATGTGGTCGATGCGGCCACGACGAGGTCTGAAGCCAGCTTGATTCTCTCGTGTTTGCAGTTCACGAGTCTTAGTTAGGCGTGTGATAATTATCGAGGCTAGTATTTTAGATACTAGATTAGTTAAAGTAATCCCTCTATGGTTGTCACAGGATGATTTTAACCCTCTCTTATATATTGGGACGATAAGTGATTGTGCCCAGTCAGATGGAATAACGTCTAACTCCCAGATCTTAGCTAAAATATTAGTCAACCTAGTCGCTAAAATTGGACCACCATCCTTAAAGACCTCTGGAGCCAATCCATCTGGACCAGCTGCCCTTTCTCGTTTCAGATTAGCTATAGCCTTTTGAACTTCAGCTAGAGTTGGGGGACCTACTTCAATGTTCCATTCACACTGTCTGGGAATGGAGGGTAGTTGTGTAGTAGCTGAAGGCCAGCTGAACTGTTCTTTTAAATGTTCCACCCATCGTTCTAAACATCTGAACTGAGAGCAGATGAGGGTGCCGTCTTTTTCCGAAATAGCCTGACTTACACTTGATTTATTAATTCCAGTTTCTTTTATTAGTCTGTAGAGCTGTTTTGTGTTCCATATAGCCCCCGCCTTTTCCATCTCTTTTGCTTTTGTTGCCCACCACTGCTCACGGTCGTTCCGTAGACTTTTGATTAACCTAGATCTAATTTGTTTTCGCTCTTCATCGTGTTCAGAGCCTGATGGGATGAGTTTACGAGAATCCATCAGTGCAATAGACCTTGAGGAAATCCACTGGTTCTTTGTAATCCTGTGGTTTAAATCACTGATAGATCTCACTGCTGTTTCCACAGCTGTTTGTATAGCTTTCCAAGCAACATCTGGGTCAACCTCGTTTTCAGAACTACCCTCTCCAACGATGACTGATGACAATATGGTCTATTTGAGTCCATCGTTGGTTTGGTGTAGGGGGTCGCCATGTTAGACAATGTCTCTCCCTATGCTTAAAATTTGTGGTTGCTAAAAATAAACGGTTGTCTGAGCACAGTTGCAGCAGACGATCACCATTGTCTGTGCGTTGTGCCAGAATACTAAAACACCCACGTAAATGCCTTTCTGTTTGGTTTAAACTACCTATCTGGGCATTAAAGTCACCTGCTACGAGCACTATGTTTGAACGTTTAGCTTTCTGTAAAATTCATCTTTCACTTCATCCGAGCTACAGTCGGTGCGAGCGTAGGCAGAAACGACAAAAAGACAACGACGTGTGTCCCTATCCTTCCGAGTTCTTACGGAGCCGTTTAGCCGAACAGCACATAAACAACTGTTAACGGGGATCCACTCTAACAGTGCTTGTTCCGCCCTCATGCTTAGTGCTATGCCTACTCCTGCCAGTCCACGAGAACTGGCCATCGGGTCACCAGATACACGGAGGGTGTATCTCGTTGGCTCTCCGTTGTGCCAAGGTGAGGTCAAGTGAATGACCACACTGGAGTCCTGTATGCGTGTTTCGGAGACACAGCATACATCAATGGAAAGAGACTCTAGGGTTTTAGCCAAGGAAGCCTGCTGACCGATTTGACATAGGGTGCGTACGTTGAAGGCTCCAATGTGTAGTTTGGAGTGAGGTTTCAGTAGACCTGGGACAGGGTTTTGAGCACTAGAATCGTTGGCTATGGTGACACTTGAGGAGGAAGCCGAAAGAGGAAGTCTAGAGTGGAAAGTCGATGTAGGAGGAATAATAGGAAGTGAAGACGGAGGTTGATTATGAATACAGTGGTCTCGAGTGCTGTTAGAGGAATGAGGGCGGTTATCACTTCCCGGTTGCCCACACCGTGGAAGGGTTGTTCTGGAGGTGCCTGAAAAGGAAATTGGATTAGAGGCGGTCTCAGTGACCTGAGAGCGTGACCGCAGTGCCCAAGGAACAACTGCTTGAGGTCGGTCACACACGACCTTTTTATGGGTGTTTTTCGTGTTAGCTCCGTACTTGTTGAGACCTTACCGCCGGATACGGACATCCGTGGGATAAGGCGAGGTGTGCATTTTTAGGGTCGACGTTTTCTAACCCCACCCCTCCTCGTTAGAAGGCAGCATCGCTGTCATGCTGGTTGTCTGAAGGAAACACATTACTGCTGTCACACCTCTGGACAGTCAGCAGTGCGACTTCGCCTTCGGAACTTGGGTTTGTTGCTTTTAGTCTTACCGCTCTTCAACCGACCTGTCTGACATGGTAGGACCTTGAGGAACGGTTGTTCCAGCCAGTATAGCTCGGTTGCTTCATCACGATAAGCAAGCCCGACCACAACGTCAAGGTAGCAACAACGGTCGGGTTTTGTGGAGTGGTGCTTTAGATACCTGAACATGTATAATATATATAATCAAAGGCTCACAATGGCCTTGATTAGTATCAACTAACCTCTTTTGAAAACATCTGACATCAGGTTATCCTAAATCATTTTAAAAAAGAAAAAAATTGGTATATCAAATAATGATTGAAATTAGTTACCATTTATTTATAAACAGAGTTATTTTGATATAATATATATATATATTAAATGGATGTAATTTTTGATTTGAAATCCAGGGGAAAGGCCTTACCGATGCACGGTATGCACCAAGACGTTTTCACAACCAGCTGTTTACAATGAACATGTGAAGCGACATACTGGTGAACGTCCTTATATTTGTACAGTTTGCGCCAAAGGATTCCCTCGAGCAGCTCGTCTGGCCGTTCATATGCGCGTTCATACAGGTGAACGTCCTTATCCATGTACGTCTTGTGATAGGAGATTTAGTCAACCACATCATCTTGCCGCCCACCTGTGAGTTATTTTCATAGTTTATTTCTTAACTCCCTAAAATTTTTACACTTCAATAGGCTCATTTATTAGGATTTTACAACTTGGCATATCAGGATGGTGGTACGTGGATTAACATAAAGTTTCTTCCCCAGTGCTTAATCTTTTTATGCCATTCGTCACGTACCCTAACATATATTATGGTTTTTAGATAGTATCTATACAAGTTAAACGTCGTAAAGAAATCTTGCAATTAGTATAAATGTTTTATGTTGCTTCATTTTACAGTTCTTTGAGTTGTAGAATAGAAAAAACTTTAACGTATAATCAGTGCACACTTGTAAGAGATCTTGTTTTCATATTTCATACTCTTACTCTGGAAAATAAAAGTTCTTACAATATTTGTATTGGTAATTTAGATTTCATATGCAAGTGTAGTTTTTTTTACACTAAAATTATGTACTGTAATTTCTGTGATTAATTTTTAGTCGTGTTCATAGTGGTGATCGGCCATACTCTTGTCCAAAATGTGATGTCAGTTTTGCATGTATTTCTAATCTGAGACGCCATCGGAAGCAAGTTCATCCAACGAGTCCTGTTCCAAATGATAATGCAGACGGCAGTGATGTAAAGAGTGGAAATGAAGAGAAAAAGCCATCACTCCAAATTATTACGTCTACTGTTTCAGATAACAATAACAATAACTCTTCTTCCGTTATGACTATGGAAACACCATCCTATATTGCTTCGTCATCGAATTTAACTTCTGATGCTCCTGTTGCGATCGCTGCCGCAATGTCAGGGACTGTGTTAACAGCAACTGGTGCTCTAGTTCCTGCTAATTTCTTGCCTGCATCGTCAGTACCTGGACTAATTCTTACATCAGGTGCTCCTGGTGCTTTAATAGCTGCGCCAGCTCATTTAACTGAACCACATTCTCATCTTCATCCTACCATTATTGCACATAATTCAGGTAATTTGTCTTATAATCTAAAACTGATGTTTTTTATTGTAAATTAAGTCTTTAAGAGAACTCATGTAGTCTGAAAAGTAACTGACATGTTTCTTACTTCGTGATCACAACCCACTGGGCCCAGATTTATGTTACCTGCTTATCGTTGAAAGAAAGCTAGGAATAAGCAAATCAAGATGTTAAACTAGTCTATGAACCTATAGAATGATTGTCGAGTTGGTAGGTAGTCAAATAGGCTCGGACTTCTAGGTTGGGGTGGAGGTCCACATGGCGACCGCGATCAAGGGTTGAAGATATCGAGTAAAACGGGTCAGAATGAGCCCCAATAGCACAGATGAAGTCATTCTTTATTTTCCCTTAAATATTGAGCTTCAATATTATTTCATACTTTCTATCTCTCAAGCCCATTCCTCCTTTTTGAAGTATATCCTCCAATGCTTAGTCTTACTATTTTTGATACTATTATTATTTCATCGCCTTTGATGTGCTCATTTTTAATGTTATCTTATTGTTCTGATGTGTTGGGTTAACTTGGGATGATGGACCTTTGCTCCATAACTGACTTCAATTTCAAACCGTCACACGGATAACCATATTCCACCCCTTTTTTCTCCTGTTCAAGTTGTCGTGTAGAGTTAGCCTAGGGTTATTACAAGAGCTTAGGAGACCGATTCAAGTGTTCAGTCACAAGATTTATCATATATGCATCAGTTCAACTTACCACAGATCAATGCAGTGAGATTATTATCATGACAAATGTCAAAACAGATTGAAGTAGCAACAACTGCAATTATGATAAAAAGATAACAGGCATGGACGTAATTCCATAAGAAAGAATTGATGCAAATAATGGAAAAACACAAAACCTAAGAGAAGGCGCAGAGTGAGTCAATCTGTGCTTTTGCTACTGAGTAAATACAAATATAGAAATGAAGTACAGAAATTAATTGATTAACCTGTTGACTATAAGAAAATGTCTGATTAAGTGGATATGGATGGATTTCTTACTTTCAAGAAACAGCTATTACCTTAAAACGACCCAATTAAACTCGCTAAACAGGTAAGAAAAATTATTCTGCTTAGTTTATTCAAAAAAGCAGAGTCGATCACAAACCGGCATGATCTTTTCTGCATGATCTGCCATCTTCCACAGGAAACACTTTTGTGAAATATGCAGATGATCTCACTGTATGTATGCCTATCTCTTCCTCTTTACATCCCATAGAAATGAATGAGTTTTTGTCTCGTATTGATTGTTGGTCTGTTGGTAATGGTCTCATACTTAATCCATCTAAATGTCAAACTGTTAACTTTAGCATGAGACATGAACCGCATCTAAACACCATTTTGAGATCCCATAATACTTGTGCCATTGGAGACTCTTTGATAAACACAGTGTCGACGGTTAGTTATCTTGGTGTTACCTTTTCCTCTGATCTCTCTTGGTCGTCTCACGTTTTATTGTTATCGAAGAAGGTTTCCCGTCTGACTTACTACATAAAGACTGCATGATCTTGGGATTACTCGTCATTTACTCGTACAATTTGTCGATTCTTGCATATTACCTGTTATTCTTTACTGTTCTCCATTAGTCTTTCCCGGTGTGTGGTGAATCTCTCGAGGTCATAATTAATATGGTTGTAGATAGACATCTAAAGTCATGCAAACTCCTGGCAGGTGTTATTTTATCAGATACTAACCATCCCCTTCATTCATATGTTTCTCCTTGTATATCTTCCGGTAGAACGAGACGTAATTACATTAAAATCCATGCACGCAAGCAAAAGTATAAAAGTTCTATAATACTTTACCTAGCAAATATACTCTGTGTCGAACAGGTTGTTGGAGTTAACCTAATCAATAGCCTGCATCGTTAGCATGTCTCTGACTTGAAAAGTTGTACAGTTTTTCGGGTTTTTTTCAAACCTTTTTTATCCCTTCTTTTGTCTTTGTTACTGTTTTTTTTGCGTAAGTAACTTGTTGAAATACCCTGTGCTGAGAATTCTATATTGTACCAAAATATAATATTGAATAAAGACATTAATTAATTAATAAAATAATGATCCAGTAACTATTAATATATATACTAATTTCTGCACTTCATTTTCACCTCCGTCGTTGATGTTGTTGCTACTTCTATCTATTTTGACATTTGTCATGATAATAATCTCACTGTATTAATGTGTGATAAGTTGAACTGATGCATATATGATCAATCTTGTGACTGAACACTTGAATCGGCCTCCTAAGCTCTTGTAATAACCGTAGACTAACTCTACAAGACAACTTAAACACGAGAAAAAAGGAGCGTAATATAGGAGGAACGCTTTACTGCAAGGTTAGTTTATGTACAGAAAATTCAGTCAGTCAGTCAGTAACAACGTAGAACTTCGTACGTACGTACATCAATTCGAGTTGCCACACCACATTAGCACAGAGATGCAGTGGTCGATTCAAATCCCGTATTGCTAGATGTAGTAAAATCATAAGCTGTAATCAGAAAAATTAGGGTTTGAAGATGTTATTCAAGGAGTATAATCCAGTGAGTGTGCACAACATTTCAGACAGCCTTGGGCTTGTGGCAAGTTCTGGGACCCTACTGAACATAGTAACAGGTTAGGTAATCATCCAATCGGAAATGTGACACGTAACATTTCGCTTTCTAGATATTTCTGACAAACTTCTATTCAATACTGATTGGATAAAATGTTTCTCAGCGTTTTTAAGGTCCTCTTTGGTTTTTTTCGAGGAATTTTCAGGGTCCCTCCGACAATGTGTTTCAAGTTCCATGTTGGTTATGACTAACTGATTGGTTGCAGTCGTAAAAATCAGTGGAAAGATCTAAATAACCAATATATGTGAATTAAAATTCATCTCATTACACAAGACAATAGTTGTCTTGACTCAGTAGCTAAAAGGACCACGCGGCAGCATTTGAGTTTATATGTACTAGGCTCGAGTCCCTGAGTGAACATCAACTATGGGATACGAGTACACTCAGTTGACGAATTCCAAGTGGGACGAAATGTGCATCATTGATTTGACTGCTAGCCACCATCTATCTCCGTTTAAAATGCCTTTGACTCTGCTTTTAATATCGAGTCAATCCTCACAGAATGCACATATGCTGATAACAGACTGATCAATTGCGCTCCTAACCATTAATGGAAAGATCCAAAGAACCATTATATATGAATCAAAATTAACTGGCTGATCATGCAATATAATTAGTTATGTTACTTCTTACTGGCACAGTAGTATTCCAAAGGTTATATTTGGTTGTGCTCTCCAAAATTATTGACTTTATTGACCAAAATTAACTTCATACTTTATATTTTATGATTCTTTTTCTTTCGCTTATATAGGTGAGGGAAATACATCTCTACTAACAACATCTATTTCTGGTGGTCTTTGTTCCGTTACTCAACCTTCGTCATCTCTTGCAAATTCATCAACTGCCTTAAGTGTTCAATCAGAAGCACTTTTAAAAGCTAGTTCTTCTCCTACAATGTCTTTTATGTTTCCAACTGTCCTCACTTCAACTCCTCATCATGGTGATGCACTCAGACAAACTTCAGTTGCTTTTCTTACACCAACAGGTGAATTAGATCGATCATGTACTGCTACTTTAGCTACTGCTGGACCTGATGGTGGATTTATATTGAATTCTGTTGGTGGAGATACTGTCTATTTAGAACCGGTGAGTATTTTTATTTTTTTAGTTTGTAGATTATCTTTTTATATTAGTTTTAAAGTTGCTACCGCATAAAATTTAGAACTGCGTTTTGACTCTACCAATATTCAAGAAATTTGAGTTTTACTTGATTTCGGTTAACCGTAATCAGAACCCATTGAGCATGGATTTTAATTCCACTCCTGGTTGTTCACTAATGTATTTTATTTACTAATACTATTGGTTTCTTCGCCAGTGAATTTAGTGATAGATATGTGATATCAAATTTCGTTGCTGCAATAGATATCATTAGAAAGTAGTATTAACTCGTTTATAGGAAAGCACTTTTGACTAACATCTGGTAAATTACTATTTGTAAACATGCCTATATTCTTTTCTCTACCTGTAAACTGCTAATAGAAATGGGATAATAAAAAAAATTATCTTTGATATTTGCTTCCAATGATTAAGTGAAATTCTACATTTAATATAGTCGTTGACTTAAGTTGGAGGATACTGGTTCACTCTGGGATGATGATCTTTAATGGATACATGAAAATGCGGATTAACATCATTCTGAAAGTTATTTCTGAAGTTTATTGTAAACCTGTTTTCTAGTGATTCTTTCAACTATCATACGTCGCTTTAAATTTAAGCCTATCAATAACGATATACCTGCATATGTCATTGAGGTGGCACATTATATATATATATATATATATATATGCTAAACTTGTTGCTAATCATCGTTTCCTTTCTTTTCAGTTGGATCCTCGACTCACTCTAGAACCCGGGCAACAGTTTACTCTAACCTCTATTCCCACTTCTCATCCACAGGGAACAATTATTAATCCACATCACTCAGCTGCACATTTAGTGGGTCATCAGGTTCATTTACAGTCGGGACAGGCAACACATATTGCTTTTGCAACTAATATACCAACTCATGGCCATCAGGCTTCACAACTGTTAACCTCTGGTTCAACTATATTTCCTAATACAGCACCCAATCAGGCAGCAATTCACAGTGGTCATTCTTCTGCAACAGTTATTTTTCCTCCTCCTGTTTCTGTCCCTCACTGCAGTTTATCTAGTCAACAACAATCGGTACTTCAATCGTCTACGGAGGTTACAGCTCCTTCTCAGTTGTTACATTATCATAGGCCAATTAACACTACAGGTGTTTTACCAGGTCGTCCTTCATCTACACCTACTCAACAGCAAACAGCAATGCTTGTACCTATAGTACATACACCACCGGTTAATGTAACATCCAGTCTACCAAACTCAACATCTAATACAAATGAGTCAGTTAACTCAACTCCTCTAACAACAACATGGCCTGTTAGTGGTACGTTTTTAACATTCGCTTCCTCACATCTCTGTCCTGTTGCTTCGTCCACTGTTATGGAAGATCATACAGATTCATGTGCCCTTACCAATTCTCGTCCTTCTTCTGTTCTGTCAAACTCCTCTTCTCTGGGTGCTATCACTGCTGTCTCAGTACCAGAAACAAGTTTATAGTTATTATTTTTTTGTTTCTCATTCCGTTTAATGACATTATTTACGTGTTCTTAATCCAGTTCTTTGTGTTATGTATGTTTATTCACATTAAAATTAATTGTGTTATCCGACTTTAGTACTTTTATACCATTCTTATTAAGTAAATAACAGCAGTAGAGGTACTTTCTATTGAACAGCATGTCTACTGGTGACCTCCCTCCTTGTACTTACTACCATTTATTATTTCATACTCGTCTTTTTTTTCAACGATAACTTGATATTTGATTTCGGTATTTTCATCATCATGGTATGTGTGAGTGTACAAATTAGTTTTGTTACGTCGTGTATGTGTGTGTTCAATGTTTAGTCATTGTTATTTGCTTTTATATTTTCCTAATTAGCTAGTCTGATGTAATATCAAATTCTTCTTCTTACTATATCTATTTGAATAAAAGAGCAAACATTTTATAGTTACTAGCTGTGTTGACTTTATTTTACACCTTCTACTTTGTTGTCATGACAATTTTTTTTTCGTAAATAGGAAACAAAACAAAACTCAATGAAACATTTACTAATGTGACCGTCAAATTCATCTTTATTACACCAACACTACATGCGTTCTTATCACTCAATGATTAGTATTGTCGTTCTGAGTAGTATGATTTTAATTACTAATTGTTTCTTTTCTGGTTGTTGTTGTTGTTGATGATGATGATGGTGTGTGCGTATATGCTCACATATAAGCGTTTCTCTGTTTACATGTTTATGTATACATCATATAAACTAAATTCAACCTTGATGAATGTAGATAAAAGGAAACATTTTGCTTTTCCCCCCTACATTATTTCATCGTTAATCCATATTGTGTATTGTATAAAAATAAACTAATATACTTTTTTTTTCTCATTTTATTTCATTAATTTAAAAGAAAATTTCGTTTGTTTGTTTGTTTTTTTTTCTTTATTTTTCATGTGTTTATTTTGGTTTGGTTTTTTTTGCCGTACAATTGACATTTCAATAAGTGTCATTTTCTTTTCCCATTTCTTTCTTTTCTACATTTCTTTTACACTTTATCACCTTTTTTTCTCTCTCTCGCTTTCTCTCTATATATATCGAATAACTTTTGTAATCTGCACTAACCATAAATATATACAAATTTGCACATACATGTGTGTACACACAGTGGCTTTGTTGTTATGCGCTCTGAACACACATGTTTATGTACAGATTGGGTTTTTTTCTCTCTGGTTTTGTTAATTTATTTTTCATTTAAATAATTTAATTCATTCTATTAATATGAAGAAATACAACTTTGACCTCTGCTCCTAAAATATTATTATTACTGATATTATAATTATTATCATAACATTACTATTATTATCATCATCATCATCATTGTTAGTAACAACCAACTCGACCATCTTCATTGAGTACATTTATACAATAACAGTAATAATGATAACAACATTAATCTAAACAAATGAAGAATCTAACGAATGTTATTTTATATATCTTTTTTTTTCCTAGTGTTGATATATGTCTGTCCTTTGAGTGTATATGTGTAGGTTTACCTACCTACTAATACTACCAGTAATTACTCTGTGTATTAATTAATTAATTATTTGTATCTAATTTCCTTAATATATCGTAATGAGAAATGTGAATTATGTTGAAAACATATATTGATGTTCCGTGTACTGACAATCATCATGACTTGAAATCAGAGTAAAAATAGTATTAAAAAAAACCTACTTTAGCTGATCTAGTGCAATACATGTCCAAGGTTATAACCAACTGTCATCTGAATTGATAATTTCAAATAGTGTTCGTCATGGTTGTCAGCCTTCTCTAGTTTTATTTAACTTTTTCATGGACACGCTTTTAGATATAACACTCACCGTTTGATATTTCAAATATTGTTCTATCAGGAGATTCACATGTTGACTTAGAATACATAGACGATATAGTTCTGTTTAGTGAAGACTCTGACATAATCCAGTCTTCAAACCACAATAAGAAACAATGCAAGCATGTTTGTAATGTGATGAGGACCAGTTTAGTACATAGCAGTTCTCTCCATCCTACTTTATGGATGTGAGACGTGGCCATTAAGAATAAAGGATATTCGTAGGTTACTACTACTCGATTATGTGTCTTCGAAACATTACTCGTGTATACTGGAACCTTCAAGTAAGCAATGACTGGGTTAGGAATATGGTACTAGGTAAAAATGGCAAATCAATTGATGAGGTGGTAGATCTCCGTCAACTGAGGTGGTTGGGGTATGTGTTGTGTACACCTAATCACCACCTGCCTCGATGGGTGATGCTTTTATGTGTGGATTTAGATCGTAAGAAAGCTAGCAGCAGCCTAAATAAAACATGGCATCAGTCCACAAAATTATTGTTAATTGAACTGAGCTATGTTAATAGGTACAGATTACCTGGTTGGGTCCACGTGATTACCGTGACCGGTGATTAGAGACTGGATGACAACTGAAAACCGTTTTCAATGGTGCAGGTGCATCAATTTTTTGTCTTCTTTCAAATCCTGAGATTCTAAGTTCCCCATACCTTTTTTCTTCTACATTTTACAAGTTTATATTTACGTTTCGAGTCTAATCTTCGATGCTTGATCTTGCCTTTTCTTGCAAAGTGGGACGGTCAGCAGTCGAAACCATTCAGTTGGGATTACTTCCAGTTGTTAGATCTTAGCTAAGATTTCAGTTAACTAACTTTTAAAACTGGATCACCATCCTTATAAACCCCAGGAGTTTGTCCATCGGGCTCCGTTGCTTCCTCTCTCTTTAGATTATTTATATCGTTTTTAACCTCACTAAGAATTGGAGGACTTACATCAATTCGCCATTCAGGTTGCTTGTAGACAGTTAATAGATAAAGTGTGACTGAAGTTCACTTGAACTGTGCCGTAAAGTGTTCTGCCTATCGGTTCTATCTCCTGGATTGAAAGTGAGTAGTAGTCCCATCTTTTCCCGAGGTACCTTCACTAGCTGCCAGATTTTTAATACCTGTTTGCTTGATAAGTTTGAACAGTTGTCTACTGTCACCTATAGCTACTACCTTCTCCACCTCTTCAGCTTTCGCTACCCACTACGGAAATCCATCGGTCAAGGTGGGGTCTGACATTTTTAGTTTCAACCTTTTCCAACCCCTCCCGTTTTGAGAAGGCAGAATCGCTACAGATGCTGGTCGTACAAGGGAAATACTGCTTCTGTCACACCACTGTATAGTCAGTAGTACGACTTCCTAGAACCTAAATTTGCTGCTTTTAGTCTTACCGTTCTTCAGCCGACCTACCTGGCGTGGTAGAATTTAAAGGAAAATGTGTTCCCGCCAATTTAGCTCAATTGTGTCATCACGACAAACGTGCCTGATCACCACATCAAGGTGGCAGCTACGGCCAGCGTTGGCGGTCTAACTAAGACCAATCTCTAGAAACTGCCTGTATTAAGAATAATCATTCCCTGCAAATAAAGACCAGTTTTCGTCTCTTGTTCCAATCTGCTCAGTGAAATATAAGGTGGTGGAGAGAACTATATTGCATTTGGTCCACTTCATTCCTAACTAATGGGTAGTCTGTTCAAACCTACCTACTTTTGTTCACACAACTGTACAATTTCACTACTCAGTACGCAACACGTATGGATATAGCCCAGCTACTATATAAAAAGGCTTTTGGATAATAATCGCTATCAATAATGTTTCCCACCAGATAAGAGGAAATAGTTCCAACGAAGTTGTTATTTGCACTGCACAAATTGTTATCCAAAGTAAATGAGAATTACCAATTTGTGTTTATCGTAAACTATTGATCTCAGAAAGATTAAAATCATGTAATTATAACTAATATTTTCTCCAAATCTGCAGTTTTACAGACCTTTTTATATTTCCATTCGATTGTTTTTTAAGGATAGTTTTCATTCTGATTTTATTAAGTTATCATGATTGTTTATTGAGCTTCGGGACCTGGTCTTGTATTTATAATACATATACATATATTAATTATAAGAGTAAATATTTTATTTGACCACTCCAAAATATCACCAACTTTCCTACATTTTAATATAAATATACCTTTGCAGGTGAAAATGTTTTCTATCAGTATAGGGGTTGTGGAGATTTCTAAGTTTTTTGATTGAGATCATGAATCAATTGATGATAGACCACCGTTGGAAACCTGGAAGCACTGGATGGTCGTTTCTTCCTAGAATGGGACTCCTCAACAGTGCGCATCCACGATCCCGCTCCACGCGAGATTCGAACCCAGGACCTATCGGTCTCGCGCCAGACGCTTAACCAACTAGACCACTGAGCCGGCATCCAATGGTGTTAGTGTCTAACATCACCCAATCCACGAAATTGCGCGACCAACTTCCATTGTACTGAGGTAGATACCTGTCTCTACCCGACACGGATTAGCTCCACTGGTCACGGTTTCTCATTAGAACTCCGAGAATTCCCTCACGAAGCTAGTCACTAGTGAGCACATGTTAGTGATTGTTAAGTTTTTTGATTGAGATCACGAATCAATTGATGATAGACCACCGTTGGAAACCTGGAAGCACTGGATGGCCGTTTCTTCCTAGAATGGGACTCCTCAGCAATGCGCATCCACGATTCCTTAGAATGTCATTCGGTGAAAGACTTTTACGCATATACTTTCTATATTAGGTAAATAGTAATCCAAAATGAGTCTAATTATCTTTAATGTTTATTGTCTTCTACTCACTATTTTTATTAGTGTTGTCATATAGGAAGATTTGCTTTTTATTTTAAATATTTTGCACCTTTGTTTTTAACTTCAACGAGGGTATTTTCGCATATATTTATCTGTTCTATTTTTTCGTCTACTTGTAAGTAAGCAAATTAATTGCTTCAAATTTACTTAAGCTTTTCATTAAATACTTCTTAGACAACTTTTTGTATTTATCCATCGTTAAATCCGTTTATTATGATTAAGGTCTTTTTAATTAATTATTCATTTGACAAATAATTAGATAGTTTTATTAATTATGTATGATAACATCTGGATCATATCAGTAATAATTGGATCTGCGAACTCCAGATCGTTTTGCTAGTATACCACTTGGGGATACATCAAAAATTTCATTCTAGCTTTTCTTTACCCATGAAATGTTTTGTTCTGTCTGTCGTTTAAACAAGTTGTTTTGTATTTAATCATAGCAAATATTCATTTATATGTAAGTCACAACTAAATCAAAAGAAACAACTAGGCCGTAAGTAAACTAATCAACAATAGCTTAGATTTGCACACCAGTATAGTTGCGAATGTACAGCCAAGATTATCCACAACATCCGAAATAAGTGTGTCGTACGCCGCACTTTCAAGTCACTAAATAAAAGGGTGCCGTCTCTTTCTGTGACAGTGAACAGACCAACTTTCAGCTGTAGAGGAAATTAGGAAAAGTCTCCATGTCAGATCTTACGGAAGTCATCAAAGTGCACCACAAAGCAGGCCCCAACTTGGAATCCTCAAGGCAAAAAAAGACAGGTCAGAGTACACATTGAGCAGGGGATTAGAGATAGGCATCAAAAGAACAAACAGAGTTTAGGAACAAGTGAAAAGGATAACGGAGGACAGAATTCGTTGGAGATCTTTGATCGGTGGCCTATGCCCCTACGTGGAACAACAGGCGTCAGTAAGTAAGTAGGATTATTAGAGTATGGCTCTCAACAAATGTTCCATCTAAAGAAACTCTTAGTGTGGCTGTGTTATAATCTGGCACGTCGGCTACACTGCACTGACGTGCTCAAAGAAGATACTTACAGATAGCTCCAACTGCTTAAGATTAACCATTTATTAAAAACGACGTTCTTATATGTATCATTCACCCGCTCAATGAAGGGAAAAACATGTATAAGTGCTAGAAATGACAAACTTATTAAACACTGATGATGCTGTGTATAACATCATCCCAAGTGTATCACTATATCTATGATTGGTTTCAAGCAAATAGCCTTTATGTTACGTGATAAATAAAGCTTTAACGAATAACCTAATCACAAACCAATTGATTGCTCCTATCGAATTTTCTTATTTATAAAAAAATAAAATGGTTACTTATGTAACAACATATGTTATAAGTTATACAGTAGCACACAAAATTACTTAGAAAAATGCCGATATTCTGGATTGAAAAGGCTATATAACTGTAATAGAATTTTGGGAAGCATAGAGTTTAGATTAATGTGGAGTCAGCAGATGTACTGATTAAGATACAATTACATGGTTAGAGGTCAACCATCAAGCCACTGCTTCACAACAAATGAAAATGAACTAACTGTTTTGATCGTATATATTTATTGTTCCAGAGAAACGCGTCCAGAACTTTGATTGGTTAACAATTTCACACACAATAAGATGATATAAATAGAATGATATTTCTAATCTTTGATAGCTGATAATGGAAGATTTCAAGTATATGAAGCAGTAAATCAATTATTTTTATTGGTTGTAACATTTTCATTGTAAAACATTTGTTAGTTAGTTTCGCATAATAAGGTATTGAATTATCTGTCAGCTGTAAGTAATGGAGAAGATTTGTAGCTCAGGTGGATGATTTTGAAGTTTGTGCTGATGATGTCGTTCACGACCAAACCATCTAGCTCAGAGAACGAAACTCCATCAAAAGTTGTAAGTAGTATTTTATTTAAAATGTGATTATTTGTCAATGCCAATACAATT